GATCTGAAAACGATGTCGCGAGAGCCTTGACAAGCGGTACCGATTAATTAAAAGCCAAAAATCCGTCCAGCCCAATGCGAGTGAGTGCAAACGCGCGGCGGTTCAATGAACTGGTATTTTTGGATATGTCAGCGGTGTCGTTTAATTAAAAACGGTACCGCGAGCAAGCCCAACGGTGTCGCAAAAGGAAAAGCTAACATAACTGTTTGGGAAAGGAAACGACATCGCGGGATCATGAAAACAACTCACGTAAAGTTCACGCGAAGCAGTTTGAGGAACGAAGCGGTTGAGACACGTGGGAGTTCTCCGGACGACGAAGCAGTTGACACGGAGTTGCGTGAAGACTACGAAGATTGATTTCAAATAAAATCACCGGAGCAAGGAGAGAGAAGGGGACAACCAAATCAACACAGAAACACATCTGTCAAACTTTACCTTTTTTCTCTGTAACTCCTTCGCGGAGCTCTTCTTCCAGGAAGGATCTCCATAGTTGTAGTCTTAGTCGTAGTCGCGGAGCTCTCCACAGGAATCTCCATAGGAGTAGCGGTAGCGTAGATTCCTCAAAACTCAAACACCCTCGTTCGAACGTAGTTTGGAGAGGTGCGAACCGTAGTAACGGTCGTTCTTGGTTAGAAGTCAGAGGTGCATCGATCAAATCAACACCGCTCGGCGGTGGATATTTGACGGTCACGTTGATTTCATCATTTAGAGGTGCATCGATCAAATCAACGGCGCCGACATTCGGCGGCGGATATTTGACGGTCGTCTCGATTTCAGCAATCAGCGGTGCATTCGATCAAACGGCACCGCAAGAGTTTCCACCGCGAAACATCAAATCAACAGCGCCGGAAACGAATTCGGCACCGGCGGTGGCATTTGGTTTTCCCGAGGAAACACTTCTTCCCGAAACAATCTAGCACCACCGTCGCTTACCGATGTGCAAATGTCACGAGCGATGACTTTTCCTTGTGTAATATGAGAGCAACGAACGAACGCCCAATTGTTAAGGAATTAATAGATATAGATCACTAGAGTAAGAAAGAATGATGTTTGTAGCAAAATGTGGACCCTTCCTTTTAAGTGAGATGCAAATCTAAGGGTTGAGAATTAAAAATATTTTATTTTCCCAATTTTTCTTAATCGGATTTTATCTTCTTCATTATAACTTCGATTTCAATTTTTTCGAACAAATGACACGAGTTTGTTGTGCTCTACAAAATGAGATCTATTTTCAATATATTTTGAGAAAACAAATTTCATACCTCTTGTTACCAATTTCATACCATATGGTATCTCCTTTGTTTTTAAGTCGTTTTTTAAAATATATGCACAATAAGAACGATTTCATAATGATCTATTGGATCTACGAATTTTTTAGTGAAAAAAATACAGGAAAAAAAAAATATCACCCATACCACCCTGGTATATGGGTAGTATCTAATAATACACAATGTTGAAAGTCGTAAATGACATTAAGTATATTCCTACTATCATGTATTCAACCAACCTACAGTCTCGCATGTTCATACCACCATGATACACTTTCATACCATATGGTATAGACTAGTAAAAAAATATTTCTATTTTTTTAATAAAAAATATAACAATGTGTATATAATTTTTAAACCACAATTAATCTAATTTATCCGTGTAAAAAAATATTGACTTAAAACGAGAGAGAAATTGTTCGTTTAAAACTAAAGGAGAAAATATTGAAGGCTTTCCATAAGTGACAGAGGGGTGATGATGTGACGGATTCTGGTAGGGTTATGCATTGTTACTCGCCACAAATTTACTAACCTGATCTGTTCCCACAAGGTACATCTCAATGACTTTAATGACAGTAAAATAAGTCTTTCGGGCCTTGTATTCCAAACGCATCACTGATCTCTTTTGGGGTCGTTTGCTTCATGGATTTAAAAATGAGGAATTCATGATTTTAAAAACCCAAAGATTTATCAAAGATTTGAGGCATTATGGAATTGAAGGATTTGGAATTTAGAACTTGAAGTCCAAAATTACCTTACAATATTTTTCTGTTTGTTTGTCATGTTTATGATATGTACACAAAACAAGAATTATACATACTTATAAGCATACTGTTGCCACAAGGACAACAATAATAAACATGAATTTCGTTTAACTTTTAACGTATCATATATCCGTTATCAATCCTTTGCCCTCCTTTTCAAAAGTAACATATAGAAACATATATTAGAACGAGAAAATAAAGAATTTCACTTTCCATGAAAATATCAAAGGAAACTAGAACACGAGAAATTGTATAGAAAATATAACTCATGTTTGCACATTAATTGAATATTAGTTTTTTGGCCCGCGCTTTGCAATGGTAAGAAATTATTATATTTATAACTTCATCCACTTATTTAATAGTTTAGTTAGGTAGTGTTTTAATCATTAAAAAAATACATAGTCAATATGTTTATTTAAGTGATACATAAGAAATAACTATCCATTCATAAATTTTACATAGTGTCATAATCATTAGGTAAGACTGATGCTTTATCTTTGTTTAATTGGCACATCAAAAATAACTATCTCTTCATAATGTTTACGTAATGTATTTTTAAATTATGTATGTTATTAAACGTCATTACATTAATCTTCTATAACGTGTGGTCAAATAATAAAATTAAAAAGTACTATATTTCATTAAATTGATATGTATAATTTAATCTATCTTACAAAATCTTGACATTATGTATATTGATGACATGGTGAATATTTTAGTTAATAGTGAATTTTTAAAGGAATTACATTATGAAAATACTTGTTTGACGATACCACAATACTTGCGCCATCGCCAAAAGGGAAAATTGATAGGGAATCTTAGGAATTAAGGGAACAAAACTCTAGTTAATGGCATAAGGAAGACAGAAGACGAGGTCAAGGGACAAATTCAGGCACCTGACATCAGCAAGGACAGTACACCCTCTGCTAGAAAGTACAATCTATAGTGTTAGACGGTCTGAGGCGCCCGACCACAGCATTTATGACTTGGCAGACGCATGGACCACTACCTAACCCTCAGATGTGTATAAATAGGAGTTCTCTCCTCATAAATGGCAATCTATCTACTCTTTACTTCAACTTCTCTCTACTTTCTCTCTCTATATTTCTGTATACTTCTCTTTTCCTACATCTTCTGAGGAGAAGCGCCTGCCTCCTTGAAGCCATGCATGATGCTCCAAACCCCTTGGACCCTAGTGAACCCAATCACAAGGGCTCAAACATTTACAATCAATGGGCTCCACGAATTTGGTTCTTAAAAATATGAAGCAAATAATGAATTTACCCTCAATCCATGATGAATTAGATTAAAGTACCATGAGACCTCCGAAATTCAATTGAACCAATTATGTAATCATAAGAGAGAAAACAATGAATTGGGGTTTCTATGTGAAGCATGGTATAAATTTTTATACGGTTATCAAAAGCAGCTTCAACAACAGTCTAACTAACTCGATGAACTGAATGTTGTGGTGGTAAATAGAGAGTACCTCAGAGATGGGTTTGTTAGAGTCAGGCAGCTCATCCGTAAATGGTTTTTAACTTCTCTCTGTAAGAGATTAAAAGGGTTGACAAACCATTTCCCAAAAACCCGAGTTATTGGGACCAAGTGGTTAGTTCGCTAACATGTTATCAGAACATAGAATCGAAAGGTCATGTTTTCGAATCCTCATGAAAACCCTCAATCTAAACAATGGTTTAGTACAAGAAATGATATGCCCAACCTATACAAACTGAAAGTCTAATGGATTTGGAAACACCAGAAAGTTTTTAACAAACCCTTCCTTTCCCAACAAACTGGATCTCTTGTGGTTGCCATTGCAGGGCTCTCATCTCCTCTTTCTTGTTTTCTTCCGTTGCCACCTTCCCAACAACATTGGAACTCATGGTTTCCTTCCATAGCCTTACTCTGTTTCACTTCTTGTTCCCCCTTGTTCGTGTCCCTCTTTCTTCCTTAGGGACCCGTAATCAAGTAGCAGCAACAGGCACGAAGGTGGGACACACTTCACCCTCCCTTCCTCTTGATATAACTTCCATTTATCTCCATCTGTCCTGCTACAAAGTTATAACCTTCAGCATATGTCTCAGTTTAATACTGCAACAGAAAATAGGGACCGTGATCAGAAAATATTGATTGTTAAAGCATCCACATCAATACAATTATAAAAGTAACTAGATTAGGGTACGGCCCGTTGGTTGGATAAAAGAGAAATTTATTAATTTTATTTGTTGTATACCATTAATATTGAGAAAATTGTATATTATTAATGTGATAAATATATAATTGGGCTAATACAACTAGGAAACCCGAACTATTAAGAATGTGTCATTTGTGTCCTAAACTATTTAATATGACATTTGTGTCCCAAACTATGATAGTTGTGTGTCATTTATGTCCTGACAATTTTATTGACCGTTATATATAACGGTTGACCAGACGGTGGTCAACTTGATATTGACTTTTGCTGACATGAAAAACACGTGGCAGCCACATAGATGCCATGTTATTGACACCTCATATTTTAAATTCAAAATTAAAAAGATACTACAAGTAAAACACTAAAAATTTTAAAAAATTAAACTCAACCATATTAATCATCCAAAATTAAAAAAAACTTTCAGAATTCATCTTCTATTCTTCTCTACTAATTCGCATCTCTCTCTCAAGATGTTCCCCAAATTTAACCAGAAAATCCTCAATCTCCTATTGATCTAAACTCCCCAATCCTCTGCTTCTCACCTTTTCTCCATCCTATACTAATTCACCCCTCTCTTTCTTCTTCCCCCCATAAATCTCCGATGTTGGTCCGAAACTAAAACCCGGATGGTATTGCCGAACTCGTTGCCGGATTTGACTCGTAGATGCCAAGGTTTTCAGATCGTCTTTCTCCTCCTGAGTTTCCAGCTCTAAAAATCCAGGCAACTTATCGACTCCCTCCATAGATATCTGCTTCTGTCGTCGTCCAGAAATAGAAGCAACAGAGGGTAATGAAGAAGGACCGCGATGGAGCAGATCCGCTCGAGGAGGGCGACCCAATCATCGCTGGCACAATCGAACCCAAAAGAAGCCGTACATGAAGCACGTCGACGAACAACGAACCTAGAACGAGAAACCCAGAAGTAGTCACTGATGGAGCAACCGAAAATCGATTGGTATTGCTACGTTTAGGAAGAAGAAGTCGTCACTGCAAATCACTCATCCCAGAGATCCCCATTTTGTTTCTACCTCTGTTCTTTTTCCTTTTCTTCTTCTTTGGTATGTTAATAGTGATTTCTCCATTCCCTCGAGCTTTGGATGTGTGGGGTTTCTCTCAATTTGATGGGATTTGGAAGAGAAAAGTTTTTGAATTGTAATTTTGTTTTGGGTTGGTGAAATATGGTCTTGGGTCGAAAAAGTTAGTCTCCTAACAGGTCATTTTGTTAGGAGATACTGACAGGGTCAGATTTTGGGCCACGTTTGCTTGGGCTTCATCCAACGGAGGAGAGTAGCGGCTAGGTGGTGGCTCACTTAAATGAGCTGGAGATGGGCTTCCGTGTAGAAGCCGGCCCAGCATGCGGCTCAGAAGGCGAGCCGAGCAAGTGGCGTGGTGGGCCCAGCTTCAGTTTGGGCGGGATTTTGGGTTGGAGTGGAAAGAGAACGAAATTTTTGGGCCCCATGTGATATATATGTATGTTTGTTTGTGTGGATATTTATTTGTTTTCAGTCGATATTATTATGTGTTGTGTTGATATTACTTTGCATCATTGTTGAAATGAACTAACATTCTTCCTTCGCAAACCAATATCCATCATTAAATTAATATTTACCAAACCCCAAAATAACCCAACCACCCAAAACTGATTACACCAATTTAGAGTTAAGTTTTAGGGTTTATGGTTCGGTTTTCAATTTGTGAAGGATTGGAATATTGTTTCTTACATCAAATTAAACATACTAGGAAGTCCTAACACATAAGGCTTGCAACCTTAGTTAGGGCTGCCCGCCGAGGGCCCACCCATTAAATAATAATAGTTTTATGGTTTAGGGTTTGTGTAACGGTTTAATGTTAAGGGTTTAGTGTCTACAATTAGGGTTTGAGGTATAGGGTTTGAGTTTTGGTTTCGGGTTTAGAAGAAAATATTGTGGAAAATGATTTTGAACACAATGTATGGTGGTCAATTTTAGTATGTGGTGATAATATATTATTATGTGATTGGAGGATATTAGTTCATGATGTGTGGATATTTTTGCTGTGTAGTCGGATATTAGTCTAAGACATCCATATATTAATCTGTGTGTGGTGGGTATTAGTCTGTCTGTGGTGGGTATTAGTCTATCCTGGTGACGATATTAATTATGGTATCATCGGATATTAGTCTTAGAGGGTGGGATATTAGTCTGGGTGGCGTGGACATTTTTTTATTGTGAAAGGATATCAGTCTGGTTTGGTTTGGATATTTGTTTTATGTGGTGTTTATCTATGTTTATGATTTAGTGATTATAATTTAGGATTTAGTTTTTGTGGTTTAGTGATTATGGTTTATTTTTTTAGGAATTAGGGTTTAGAGTTTATATGTAGTTGGTTGGGATTTGATTTAGGTTTTAGAAGACGATATTGTGGAAATTTTTATGAATACAATGTAGGGTGGTTCGATATTTGTTTATGGGTTTGAGTTTTGGTTTCGGGTTTAGAAGAAAATATTGTGGAAATGATTTTGAACACAATGTATGGTGGTCACTTTTAGTGTGTGGTGATAAGATATTATTATGTGATTGGAGGATATTAGTTCATGATGGGTGGATATTTTTGCTGTGTAGTCGGATATTAGTCTAAGACATCCATATATTAATCTGTGTGTGGTGGGTATTAGTCTATCATGGTGACGATATTAATTATGGTATCATAGGATATTAGTCTTAGAGGGTGGGATATTAGTCTGGGTGGTGTGGACATTTTTTTTATGGTGAAAGGATATTAGTCTGGTTTGGTTTGGATATTTGTTTTATGTGGTGTTTATCTATGTTTATGATTTAGTGATTATAATTTAGGATTTAGTTTTTGTGGTTTAGTGCTTATGGTTTATTTTTTTATGAATTAGGGTTTAGAGTTTATATGTAGTTGGTTGGGATTTGATTTAGGTTTTAGAAGACGATATTGTGGAAATTTTTATGAATACAATGTAGGGTGGTTCGATATTTGTTTATGGTGATAAAATATTATTATGTGATGGGAGGTTAGATATTAGTCTCTGTGTGGTGGGCATTAGTCTATAATGGTAACGATATTAATTATGGTATCATCGGATATTATTCTTAGAGGGTGGGATATTAGTTTGGGTGGTGTGGACATTTTTTTTTATTGTGAACGGATATAAGTCTGGGTGGGTTTGGATATTTGTTTTATGTGGTGTTTATATACTTATTTGTATATGATTACATCAATTTAGGGTTTAGTGTTAGGGTTTAGACTTTAGGACTTAGAATTAGGGTTTACGGTTTAGGGTTCGGGTTTTGATTTAGGGTTTAGATATTAGTCTGTGTGTGGTGGGTATTAGTCTATAATGGTGACGATATAAATTATGGTATCATCGGATATTAGTCTTTAACGGTGAGATATTAGTCTGGATGGTGTGGACATTTTTTTATTTTGAACGGATATTAGTCTGCAAAGTCGGATATTAGTCTGGGTTGGTTTGGATATTTGTTTTATATGGTGTTTATCTATGTTTGTTTGTGTTGATATTTAGTTTTAACAAATCCGTAACAAAACAAAGTCGTTTTTTGACAAACCGCGATACAACTAGTATTCAGTGTCATTCCAACTTTGCAATCTCATAATCTAAAATCCGTAAAAGTACAACCACAAAAATGAAAAAGGAATAGTTCAAATGTTGTCTTGCTTGGCCAAACTTTCGATAATATTTTTGATCATATCCCTCAAAGCCCTCCGTGTTCGATCATGCCATTTTGGGGTGTGGATAATTGTTATGCTGAACGGATATTAGTTTGCGACGTTAGGATATTTAGGTTGGGTGGTTTGGATATTTGTTTTGTGTGAATGGATATTAGTATGTGATGGTTAGACATTAGTCTGTGTTGTTTGGATATTTGTTTTGTGTGGATATTTATCTACTTAATTTATATTATTGTTGAAATGAACTAGTATTTAGCATCCCCAAATCACAAAATATCCATACATGGCAGAGTAATATCCTGATTGGGAGAAAAAAATATCAATAGATAACATAACTAATATCTGGACAACCAATTGCATACTAGAATCCACATCATCAACAAATTGAATCCCAAATACCCCATGTCTAATCCCAACTACATGGGCATTATAGTGCCAGAGTAAGAGATTAGCCGCAATGAGTGCTCCTTGTCTTCCATTATGCAAAATCCCTGAAGCACATACAAATATTTGGTAAACATAGAAAAATATCCAATAAAAAGCAGACAAATATCCAAACATGGAGGAAAAATATCCAGACATAATATTTTTAATATCTGGACATCAAAAAACTAACATAATAGAAGTAATATCCAGATACAAACAAATAAGTATCCACACATAATATAACAAATATCTCAACCGCGCAAAACAAATATAAGTGAACTAACATCCATATAGGGCAGAGAAATATCAAGACAGAGTAAACAAATATCCAGACATCACATAACTAATATCTGAATTATCAATTAAATAACAATATCCACATCATCAAAAAGTAGGATCCCAAGCATGCTAATTGTTATCCACTATGAAAGGAACTAATATTCCAGATCTACAAATCGAATCCTAGATCCCAACCACACAACTATCCATGCAATTGAAAACTGATATCCTTCCTGAACAAAACTAATACCGGAACGCACACCAAACATATCCACAAAACCCAGAAAACAAAGCAACCCAGATCTAGTCAAATCCACAAAATCCACAAACCTAGCAACCCAGACCCAGATCCAATCAAATCCACAAACTCAGAAAACATATCCACAAAATCCACAAAAGAAAGCAACCCAGATCCAGTCAAATCTAAGTTAACAGAAAACAAATCCATCAAACCCATCGGAAAAAAAAATGTAGGAAAAGAAAAACTCAGATCTAGTCCAAGCTATGCAACCTTAACTCAATCTACTCAAACGAACATGAGTATCCATGAACAAATAGGAAAAAAACTCTGCTACCTCAGTCAACGAAGTAGTTCTTTCGTCAACGACCGCCGTCAACCAACCCTTCGTCGCGCGCCGCTTCGTCTGCACTGTCAAAATAAGCCCGCTTCGTCTGCACCTTAGCCGCCGTCAACCAACCCTTTCGTCGCCGCCGCTTCGTCTGCACCGTCACCGCCGTCAAACCAACCTGGCCGTCGTCGCCGTTATCGGGAGAGGAAAGAGAGAGGGAGAGGAAAGAGAGAGGGAATGAAAACAATTGATTTTTGGAGAGAGAGGGGGAAAACGTGTCTGGTGGAGAAAGATTAGAGAGGGGAGGGTTTTGAGTTAAAAAAAGTGGTGTTTTTTGAATTTGGGGGCCTGGTGGGCCACATTTTTTTTTTTCTGTAGGCTTGGGCCAGCCGATGGACTCGGCTCTCCTCCCTCACATGCTGGCGCCAATCTACCTCCACCGCTGGATCGTGGCTTGGAGACGTGGCTGCCCATCTAACCCTATCAGTATCTCCTAACAAAATGACCTGTTAGGAGCATAACTAGATTGGTCTTGGGTAGCTTATTAGGTTTAATTGCAGAGCTTCGGCCAATTTGGCATCTTGCTTTGGAGGGATTCTTTTGGGTATATTTTTCCCAGAATCCCCCAAATCGAAGGGTTCTTCCAATCTGTTTTTTTTTATGTGGAAAATATTTAAAAATTAATATTATAAATTCCACTTTAGATGCCACGTCAGCGCTGACTAGACTTTTTGTTAAAAAACTAACGGTCAACGCTGGTCAACTCTAACGGAAAAATAGTTTAGGACACCAATGTCATATTGGATAGTTTAGGACTCAAATGACACATTCTTGATAGTTCGGATTTCCTAGTGGTATTAGCCCTATATAATTTTATCAATATACAATTGTGTATTATGAAATGTGATGAATACTATCATGATGATTTATTTATTTGAAATAAGGGATGAACATTCAAGTTAGTTACATTAAAAAATTTAGGAAAAATTCACTAAAAATCGAAGAATCTACCATGTCTTGATTCAAAACAATACAAAAATCTATTACTTTTTATATGTTTATGTGATTTGGTGAATTTTTTCATACTAAATGTCAATGAATCATATTTTTCATTTTCTACTTAGAATAGTGGGCAAGAAAATTAAACTAAGAAGTACATAGTACCAAACCTTATTCATCAACACTTGAGTAGCCTCTTAGTGGCTCAGTTAAATTTTCAAGTATTGTGGGATAACTTTTTCAAACGTGTTTAATTGTGACATTTATATTGTCGTCATTAATACTTATCCTATGAAAATAACTTATACCAAACACAACACCTTTTTGCTACTCAATTTATATAACTCGATTTCAATAATACGATATTCATATTGATGACTTGAAATTAAATCTTATAAGTTTAATTCAAATTAAGTTGGGCACTAACAATTATAAGTTCGGATGGGAATAAGATTATACATAAAATAATGGGGTTAATTGCATGGTTGGTCACTGACATTACAAAAAGCGTTCATGTTTGGTCACTCGAAATATTTAAATCCATTTTTGGTCACTAACTTTACAAAAACCGTTCATTTATGGTCACTCTCCGTTAGCTGCCTTCCAACGCCGTTAACGGCGTCCGTTAAGTGATGACGTGGCTGACGGATTCTCCTAATCATCACCTTTTAACCCGAAAATTGACTGACCCGACCCGCCACGTCATTTAAACCCTCCATGTCAGCCAAACCTAACCAAACCAGACCAGACCCGACCCCTAAATAAAGAACTGACCCGACCCACAAATTAATCTACCCACCTTTGACTAAAACCCTAATCGAAAGACAAATCCATCTGCCTCCATCCAGCCGCTTCATCATAGCAACCGATTCCAGGCCTCGACCATCATCTTCCCACCCTCTTTCCTCCCCTCTCACCACCGCCACCGTCGTCGGCCCCGCTAATTGTACACCTGAATGATTGCTGTCAAGTCACTCATATCTGGACCAGGTTCTTGTGCTGGAGGCGCCCCATGCTCGAGATCTCTGCCATGAATTCTCTCAGACCTTGCTTGGAGTTGTGGTTCACGCATTTCACCGCGATCTCCACCCCGTTTCCGGCGAGCGTGCCTTTGTAGACCTTTCCGAATCCACCGGAATCGAGGAGTACGTCTTTGGAGAATCCATTGGTGGCTTGGGTGAGTTCTTCGTAGGAGAATCTATGCGGCCAGTCCTCGAGTTCCCAATCTTCAATTTCGTCTTCTCCTTCTTCTTCGTCTCGTTTCCTCTTGCTTTTCATCCAAAACCAAATCCCTAGACCCAAAATTGCCAGAAAAGCAACACAGCCGATTACGATGCCCGCAATTGAATCGGCGGATAACGAATTCGAACCTAATGATGGCAATCTGAAGACAGGGAGATTGGTGGTGTTGAGCTCTCTGGACTTCCTCTTCCATCCTCTTCCCACCCTCTTTCCTCCCTCACTCGACAGCTTCTGTCATACTAAATAATGGTAGGATAAAGAGGTATCAGAATCATAACGTTAGCGGGCGGGGCCGACGACGGTGGCGGTGGTGAGAGGGGAGGAAAGAGGGTGGGAAGAGGATGGTGGAGGCCTAGAATCTGTTGCTATGATGGAGCGGCTGGATGGAGGCAGATGAATTTGTCTTCGATTAGGGTTTTAGTCAAAGGTGGGTAGATTAATTGGGGGGTCGGGTCAGTTCTTTATTTAGGGGTCGGGTTTGGTCTGGTTTGGCTGACACGGAGGGTTTAAATGATGTGGCGGGTCGGGTCAGTCAATTTTCGGGTTAAAAAGTGATGATTAGGCGAATACGTCAGCCACGTCATCACTTAACGGACGTCGTTAACGGCGTTGGACGGCAGCTGACGGAGAGTGACCATAAATGAACGGTTTTTGTAAAGTTAGTGACCAAAAATGGATTTAAATATTTCGACTGACCAAACATAAACACTTTTTGTAATGTCAGTGACCAACCATGCAACTAACTCTAAAATAATGTTTTCATTTGGGTGCGGATAGCATAACAACACCCTAAGTGTTGTTATTATAACAACAAGGGCATAACCGTAAATGACAATAAACATAATAAAAAAAAGCTATTTCATCCTCTCTCCCATTCTGATCTCATCGTCTCCGTCTCAGCCCCTCTCTCCCCAAAATGCCCGCGACGGAGGCGGAGACACAAATCGTCGCCGCCGCCGACGCCGCCACCACCGACTCCCTCCTCAAATCCTGCCCCGACCATCACCAACCTCTCCATCGTTCCCCTCCCGGCCGCCGACGTCTCCCACCACGTCCAGCTGTCAGATCTCATCACTCACCATTGTCCCGGGGCCAAGATTAGGGCGGTCCTATCGCCTCCGAAATCGCTCAAAACCGTCTCTCCGCCTCCTTCGTCGCCGCCGTCGAGTGGGGACTCGTCTCCTCTCACCCCAGACTACTACTATCGCCAATCGCGTTGCGGCTGCCACTCTCCGCCGATTGGTTTCCGCAGCGGAGTTCGTGGAAATTACAGTCCCCGCTCAACGCAGAATCATACCCGTTGCGGCAGGGTTCGGCAAACTTGATGATTGGAATTGGAATGAAACAAAATTAGTCGAATTAGGTTATACAAGTTTGGATACGAGATGAGATGATGATGACGACGAAGAAATTTGTGAAAGTTTGGATTCTTCTGTCGAACTTGCGAAATTTTCCATTTCTAATCGCCGGTTTCGTCAAAATCCGGACTTCCGGTAGCTTGATACGACGGTGAATTTGGTATTACCGTTAGGTTTCGGTCGCCGCCGCAGCTGACAGACAGCTGCCCGTTCCCGTATCCCCACCGGCCGCCTCAGTCCACATGCAATATTCCGACTTTAGGTTCTCTGTTTGTCTCTCTGCTTGGCTGTGGGCAAGGCTCAGAATATCAATATCCCAGAACATAAAAATAACAGAGAAAAAAGAAAAATGTGCCTTTTGCCTTTTGTTTAATGAATTTGGGCTGCTTCCTACCTCCAAATGACTAATTAATAGCACCTCTGAAAGTCCCTACACAAAGTGTTTTGTGGTAAGCAAAACATACATATGACGATGATGGTCCAATAGAATTCGAACTGTACAAGATTCCCAAATGAAAGGTCCAAAATTAATGAAACTTATTGCTTGAGTGAATTTATCCATATGAGTGCCATGAAAGAAAGAATGATTCACAGGCAAATGCACATGCTGGTTTTTTCCATTGCTGGTGAGAAACTGGACTGTAAAAGGTTATATGACTGAGGGCCTGAGGCGCTGTTGTAGTGGGTGGCGCTCTGTTTCGGCCGGTGGCGGGATTTGGCCGGGTGGTGGTTGTTAGAAGTACTAATTATCGGGATACTAATCAACTTACACATAGTTAATTCGTTAAATGCCATCTTTTGAAGGATTTTTGAATGTCGATATTGAAAGTGTTGGCATATTTTTACAAGTTGGAGTAATTTCAAGTTCACTTGAAAGCATATCAAAAGTCTAAGTCTATGAATGCACATCATAAATCTTATAAAACATACTACAAATATCACAAAAGCATACCACAATTTTTTAAAAAGCATACCAGAAACCTCTCAATACAGACTATAAATTGCCTAAAACATACTAGAAACACGACAAAGTAAACCACAACTATTTCTAAAACACACCAAAAACCTCCTAATGCAAACCACAAATGCGATAAAACAAACTAGAAACTTCTTAATGCAAACCAAAAACGTCCTAATGCAGACCACAAATCTCCTAAAACAAACCAGAAACCTCGCAAAGCAAACCACAAAAGTTTCGAAAGCACACCAGAAACTTCTTAATGCAAACCAGAAACCTCCGAATGCATACCACAAATCTCCTAAAACAAACCAGAAACCCCACAATGCAAACCACAACATTTGCGAAAGCACACCAGAAACCTCATAATGCAAACCACAAATACAGTAAACCAAACCACAAAAAAACAAACCATAAACGTCCTAATGCAGACCACAAATATATTAAAACAAACCAGAAACCCCTCAATGCAAACCACAAAATTTTTGAAAACAAACCAGAAACTTCTCAATGCAAACCACAAACACGATAAAGCAAACCAGAAACTTCTCAATGCAAACCACAAACGCGATAAACCACAAAAGACCGTTGACCGGTCAACGAAGTTCGTTGACCGAACTACGATGACCGTCAGTGTGTAGATTCCGGCGCCGAGAGGCATATTCCGACCCCGATGACTAGATTCCGACGCCGGTAAGCATATTCCGACCACGGTGAGCATATTCTGGCGACGGTGACATATTCCGATGACAAAAAAGCATATTCCGGCGACAAAAAAAGCATATTCCGGTGACCGGCGAAACGATGGCTGAATTCCGGCGACCAAAATTTTGGGCCGAAAAATAAAAAAAATATTTTTTTATTTTTTTATTTTTTATTATTATTTAAACATATTTTTCATAATGACAATTATACCCCTGCTTTGATTTTACACTAGGTCAACTCATCTAATAAAAAGTCATCACAACCCTAGCTTCCTATTGGTTGGAGACTAGTGTTGTTATAATAACAACACAAGGAGTGTTGTTACCATAACTGGTCCCTTTTCATTTTGGAGACGTGTTTATGATGATGCGATACAAAAATAGATCATGGTAACATAACTTAAAACATAATTGAAAAAAAAAAAAATGATCACTACTGTGTATTTCTTGATTGGTTGGTAACAATAATACCATAAAAAAACAAAAATATTATTGAATGATAACAAAAAAAAAAAAATACCACAAAGTGAGTATCAATGGCTCAAAAGATGAAATACTAAACAGAAACGCATGCTCCGGTAATAACTAATAACCGCACTACTAATTTCCCAAGGAAAGTAATTGTGAAGTAGAAGGACATAAATAGCCTTCCGTGGAGTGCGCAGGGGCCTCTATTTTCTAAGCTAACCCCTTCTCTCTTGGAATGTCCTTATATTAGTGTGTAGATAGATAGATTACATTTATATGTTTTTTTTATTGCCAACTCAATTTTTTTCAATCCACCTCAAATCACTTTCATTCACTTACATTAATGCAATTAACTTGCAATTGCATATGTAATTAAATATTATGTTAATTCGTACAAAAAAAATATTATGTTAAAACGGTAGAAAATAAAAGTGAAAAAAATAATATAAAATTAAAAGTCTCATTTTTTAGGGCTTTTTGACTTGCATATGGAATTTCATTTGTTTCAACCTTGCAAATATGCAATTGGTAGCCATATGCAATTGGTTTTGCAATTGCAAACACCCTTGCCTTGTCATCTTGCAATTGAAAATGCAATACCATGTAGATGCTCTTATAATCAATCACCACAAGTACATAACGAAACGAACACATCCCAAATAGTTATTTGTTTTCATATTTGTCTTCAGTTTCATGGCACAATTCTGGACAAGTCTATTCCTGCTTTTGGTTTTTAGTTACCAACAACAAAAGGTGAACAGGCTGATTTATCTTGCTTACTGCATAACTTGCACTTCCAGTAACTACATGATCTAATCAGAAAGTAGGAACGAAATTGCAAGTCATTTATTCATTAGATAAGTAGAACATATAACTGAGACTTAGAAGATGGTACTTAAGATAAGGAGTTGGAAGAAATATAGAGACAGTCAAGCACATTATTCTACTACGCTAATTGGAAATGCGATCAACATGATTCGTCATCTGCTTGTTTAGGAGGAAACTGAATAAGAAAGTGAAAGAATGAGACTTTTCCAGGAAGGGAATCCACAGGCCAGAACCAGCATTACTATTCGAATTATTCCAACGTCACCTAACGGAAAAAATCCCAAGTTACACATGTTTTAAAAAAAAATTCTCAAAATACACACGTTATGTAAATAATTCCCAATCTACGCATGTTTGGGCTATCACCGCTGTCAACGAAGACAGTGATTGCATCACTGCTGTCGACGAAGACAGTGATTGCATCACTGCAGTACACGGGCGCGGTGAAGGCCTAACCTGCGTCGAAACTTGAAACAAACGTAACTTTGTGCTCGGTTATCCGATCGTAGCGAATTTTTTTTGATTCCGCATAATTTTTCAAGATCTTGCAAGCCGCAAATTGCCGTAGGTGGTTTGGTCCCGCCTTCGTCTCGAAAATATTTCGTTTG